TGATAAACTCCTGACTTCGGTTTTCTTTCTTTATGAAGTTGCCAGGTAAAAGGCTACACCCAGAGAAGGGTGTTTTCTGGAATCACAGGTCTCCAAGACCTGTGGTGTAAGGAAAGTCATCCCCCAGAAAAGTCCCTCACATCTTCTGGCATTTGGGACCTAAACCTAAAGTCTTCTGCAGCTTCCTGTTACCACCAGACTGTTAACCTACAGACAGGAGGGGGAGGGGTGTTTCAGAGGAAACTTTAGCGATGGGATGGAGATAGAAGGGTGTTGGCAATTTTAAGCATCTCACACTAATTGCTTCTGGACTCCTTAATTAGGAAGCAGACTGTAAATATCTTCAGAATGTTCCTGCATGTATAGGTTAATTAGCATACGCTTTTGAAGATGTACTATTTATGGCCATAACTCCTTACAAAGAAAATCTTGCTAAAGGAAGCCAAACTGAAGACAAATCGTGATAACACTACACTTTGATTGTAGCAATTGTATACTCATGTGCGTATACTAAAGGCCAGTCTCCAGAAAAATCTCTCCCAAGAAAAGGACTCCTGGTCCTGACACCTCAAACCCACAACATAGCCTCCAATCCACAACAAAGCCTCCAATCCACAACACAGCCTCCAATCCACAACACAGCCTCCAATCCACAACATAGCCTCCAATCCACAACAGTCCCGATCTCAGAGCCTCAGAGACAATGTAGCTATGGGACTCAATCAGCCCAGCACTTAGATTTTACATAAACAGTTCATTCCTGTTATCTGGAGCACTTTATTCTGACGTGCTAGTCTGTTCCGACTTATAGCATAGGGTTTCCACAGTGGCTGGTGGGTTTGAACCACCAAACTTGTGGTCAGCAGTCCAGTGCTTATCCTACAGCACCAAAAAATCACTGCAAACACTGAATGAGTAAATGATGAACCAATGCCCCTAGGGGAGACGTTAGCTTAGGTTCCTGTGTGCCTCTGGTCACCACATTTTCATCGTATGATTAATATGCAACCTTGTCTTATGTGTGCTTCCATTTATTTTTGTCCAGCTTACTCTACCTTTTTTTAAAAAAAAAAAAATTTTAATGTTTTTATTGTGAATTCTGTGATTGTTTACATGGGGGAACATTAGCTTTACATTCATCCTATCATATTTTGTTTCATTGCAGTGATTACAATCCCTTCTATTCATCATCAAACAACTAAAGGGTACAACCCACAAGCCTGTCTGTCATCTGTGTATTTTCATTTAAAGATACCTGGTGTGATGACGCTGTGGGTTAATGCGCTGGATTGCCAAGTTGGTTTGAAGCACAAGGTTGGCAGTTCAAGTTCACCAACTGTTCTTTGGAAACCCTATACAGGGTTGCTATGGGTCATAACTGACTCACCAGCACTTAACAACAACAACAATTGTTAGATATTGTTGATTTGTTAACAGAGCTCGTGGCAGAAGTTGTCTTTACTATAACTCATGGCGGAGTGAGGCCTAGCTAACATGCATTTTCTTTAGAAGGCACATCACAGCCTTGTGCTCAGGAACACCAGACAGTGCTTGGGGTTCGTTTTAAACAGTAAAATCAGCCCCCAAAGCTCAAAAATGTGAAACACGAGTCACTAAATTAGATCCCAAAGAGGACGCTTATTTACAGCATGAACACTTAGAGGCCAAGCGCCACCTATTTGACTTCAACTGGGAACGTACCTGGTCTCTCCACTCTGAGCATAGCTACAAAATTTCGGCAAGTCCTGATTCTGGAGTTACAAACACAGGCATACCTCACTTTACTGTGCATCAGAGACACTGCATTTTTAAAACAAATGGACAGTTTGAGGGACTCCTGTGATAAGCAAGTCTATTGATACCGTTCTCCTGACAACACATGCTCTGTTCACGTCTCTCTGTTCCACTTTGGTAATTCTCTCAATATTTCAAACTTTTTCATAATGGTGTCCTGGAATGGCACTATAGGATAAGCACTGGACTGATAACCACAAGGTCAGAGGTTCAAACCCAGCAGCGGCCCCTCGGAAACTCCATCCAGGGTAGCTATGGGTCAGAACAGACCCGATGGTACTTAAGAACAATTGAGCACAGTGGCTCCGCAGGATAAGCACTGGACTGTGAACCACAAGGTCAGCAGTTTGAATCCACCAGCCACTCCTCAGCAAACAGCTGAGGCTTTCTACTCCTTCAAAGATTCACAGCCTCAGAAACCCTATACAGGGTCGCTACGACTCCACGGGGCTTTAACAGCATTGAGTTACGGACTGGGCACCTTGGTGTTAACTACTTGAGACAAGGAGCTGAATAAAGCACAGGGAAGACTGTGAAGATGGCACTGAGCTGGCAGTGCTTCACACTGTGGGAACCGACACAACACCACCTAACAACAGCAACAACTCAAGATGAATTAAATCAGAGGGGGGAAACGTCAGGAACACAGTATTTACAATCACAGTATGTCTCCAGCAATGGGGTCAGAGAAGGAAGGGTGAAGGAGGGTGGGGTGTGTGGGGACCAGCCCTGTTCTACACTGTAGCCCAGCCAGACTGACTCATGAGCTGTCCTATGTCAGCTGATAACCTTGCAGGACACATTTTTCTCTGTCACACCCATCTGGAGGGACGTGCCAGTCGGGTGGATCTTGACTCTAAGGCTGACCTGGGGACAAATGACTCCCAGGACTCCCAGCTCTGAAAGTCTTCACCCATAACACAACGGCCTTTCCTGAAACCTGAAGCCAGTTTGGTGCGAGGCCTTTATAGACCCAGTGAACTGGTCTTTAGGGGAAATACGTGGGCCTTGAAGGGGAAGAAAGAGGGTGGCCAGATGTTTCTTCAAAGGGGCAGATTCTTGGACCTAGCTGTATTTCAGTCCCTCCCACAGCTGTTGAAGTAAAATCAGAAGGTAATCAAGACACCAGTGCCTAGGCCTCACCCTTTGGCCTCCCAACTCTTTTCAGGAAGCACAACTCTGTGTGTGGACACAGGAGACGGCTGCTTCAAACTTGGGGACTATGTGGCGTCTCTTCCTTTGGCTGGAACATCTGGAAGACCCTACTGGTGTTTTTAATTTGTGTTGCAAAATGAAGTTTCCCAACCGCTCCCAACTCAACAGGTTTATTTCCACCCTACAAAGCAGCTCAAACTTGGAAGCCCCAGGGGAAATGCTGTGGGGTCCTACTCAGGGTTCCTTCTGAGACGAGCTCTCTGGAGCTCACTCAGGGGAGATGCAGGAGCGCCTCAGCTATGCATTTGGAGTGCTAGGACTTGACCACTTGACCGCTCAAGCTCCCAGGTGCCCTTTGAGTGAACCACCCATCTTCTCCAACAGCCTTCCTGGCCGCATGTGTCTCCTTGGTTAGAATGTTATCCTTGAGGTATACTAGGGCTGACTGTGAGAGCTATACTGGAAAGACATGGCAGACCCCTCTACTTTGACTTGTGTGTATGGAGGGTGGGAATCCACTTCTCAGCAAGTGGCACCAAAGTTTATACCCAGACTTGGGTAGCAGTCTCTGAACTCCTTTCTTCACACACAAGCCCAGCCGGTCCGATCATGTTGCATTCCTGCTATGAACCACTGCAGCGGCTCGTCATCACTCTGGGGACAAAGCCCACATTCCTGAGTGTGCCTTTTGAGGCGCTGGTGCTCTGAACCTCCCACATCTCCAGCACCATCCCCTCTCCCACCTCATGCTAGTGCCCTGGGGAGCGTGGGTTGTCCTCCCTCCTACAACACTCTACGTGGGGCCTAGAGGACAACATGACTGCCTTCCTCTCCCTCCTACCCACAGAGGTGGCCACCTCTGAATGTCAGCAAAGAAAGCAATGCGGACTCAGGGTGTGGCCATGGGAAATCCCTGAGAGAAAGCCCAGAGGTACCTCAGTGGGCTGCTAGGATTGATGTCTTTGTTTCTGAACTATGTCCTGTCAGGGAGTTTGGATGTGGTTCCATGGATTCTGTGCCCTGGTGTCTGATGGAGCGAGGTGACAAGATGTACAACCAGTCCCGATCCTACTTGCCTGGTTCCCTGACCTACCTCTGCTTGACACACCTTCTCCACCCTGAAATGTGAGACGGGGATGTGTCAACCTTTAAGTTTCCAGTCAGAACTGATTAACACCTCCCAGGCCTATAGAAAGGGAGGCAGAGGCTTCCTCTGAACTCTGGCCCATAATTCCACGGGTGGGCCCTCCAGCCCAGAGGCCGAAGCTGGTGGGGCAGTTGCTGAGGCAGCGCCAACAAAGTGCTCTGGCTTGAGGCTGTCACACCTCCACTGACAGGCTGCTCTGGGCCACTGGGTGTTCGCCCTCACACAGGATGTGGTTTTCTAAGGGTGGGGAGGGCTAGGCCTTCACCTCTCACCCACCCTTTCTTTCCTGAGCCTCGGTTCTGAGCCACTGCTCCCTGAGTCTACAAATGTGTGCACACTGTTCACATATCCACCTACACACATACCGACACCCCCAGACATCTGTACACACATCCCCACACACATCTACCTGTACCCACATGCCCATGTACACGTGAACACATATTCCTAAATACCTAACAGCACACATACCCACACACTTGTATACAACCCATACCTACACCAATACATGTATACACCCACACATGTACATACTTCTATACACACACCTGTACACACATGCATATACCATCCCTACATACACAAGCATATACACAGCTCTATCATTTTCTTCTCACTTCAAACTCCTTAAAAATAAAAATGGTTTAATTTCAATTTTTCTCCTACTTAACCCCCCAATAGACGCTTATCACTCTTCTTTTCCCCGCTTAAACTTTCCTTCATTCTAATTTCCGCACAGGCTCCTGAGTGCCCATGAGGGCAGCGCTCAGCTCTAAGGCCTCAGTCATCTATGGCCACTGTCTTTCCTTCTGGGGAGGACGAAGGGTGGGAGAGCTGGGAAAGCAGGTGCTCCTGCGTTGCTGAGGATGATGGCAGCGTTGAAGGGCGCCCATCAGTCACTTACCTCCAGGACTTTTCCAGTGATAAACTGGTGACAGGCTTCACATTTCACCCCAAAGAGCCCCTGGTAGTCCTTCTCGCAATATGGAGCACCATCCCTGCAAGACAGAAATCCATTCAGATCCCCAAAGGAGAGGTGGAAAGTGGGAAGACCCTGGACCCACACTTCTCTGTGTCTGTTCCACAGATGGTAGAAGAATGCATGCCCCCTACAGCCCGGCAATAACATGCCTGGTTATGGGGCCAGACCTGACCGAACCCCATGAACCCAAATGATGCAGAGGGCGTGCTTGGTTCACCCCGCCACAAAGACACAATGATGGAGTCTCCTCATAATTCCCACATGGCTTCTACCTCTCCAGCTCACTAGCAATTCTCTTTCACAACCCACCCACATGGGATGCAGGTAAGTCTAAGTGTTTGTCAATCTGTGAGGAGGCCCAAACACTTCCTTCTCCCCCATTTCCTCAGGTTCTTCTCCTCCAGCCTCAGGCAAACTCCTCAATTTACCTCAGAGTGCAGCAAACACACTGTGTGTGTGTCCCTTGTGTGAAGTAACGTTAAAAAGCACGACTTTGGACTGAGGAGTTATTGACTCCTGTAAAAGCAGGTGTAAAAGCTGGGCATTTCTTTCTTCTACTTTGCCTCTGCCTCAAACGCACCTGGGAACTCTCTTTTGCTTCCTAACACAGGCGTTTCAGCTTCTCCCTCCAACCACCCCTACCCTGTACCATCCTTTGAGTCAATCCAGACTCACAGCAAGACTGCATCTTCATGAGAGCAGTCAGCCTCAGCATTCCTCCACGGAGCAAGCCGCCGGCCATGTAACCCACAGCACCACAGTGCTCTGGCTTTACCCTGCACCGATGGGATTATAGGCTCTAGGAGGTGGGACCCACACTACTCTTTTGTTCGTTGCATTGTAATTTTAAAATAAAATTTATTTAATTTTGGAAAAATGGGTGAAACATCCATCTGGCTGGGGAGATTTTTTAAAGCATAAAAAGGAATAAAGTGGAAAATTCTCCCTTGTTCTCCATCCGATTCCTCCTGCTCACTCCTTCCTCCCCAACTCAAAAGGTAGCCCTGTAACTAGGTTTTCTACATTAAAAAAAAAAAATCTCCATGAGCCACTACCACTCTGAATATTACCCACAAGTCTTAGCTGGAGGACTGTATTTCCCATTGGTCAGAGAGGCACCATGCCTGGGCCCAGAGTGGTCTAGGAGGTAAAACCATGGTTGAGGTTTAGGCAAAGGGTTACTGGCTCCAAAATGGGGATAAATGCAGCAAAATTAAAATCATTAAATGTTTAATTGGCTAAGAAGCATAGCACAACACTACGTCTTTGCCACTAACTGTCAAATTACCAGTCCCAGTTCCCTTTAAGTCGATCTGACTCATGGTGACCCATGTGTGTCAGAGTAGACCTGGGCTCCACAGAGTTTGCAATAGTTGACTTTTCAGAAGAAGATCACCAGACTTTCTTCTAAGGTGAATGAGCACTCTATGGTAGGCAGCTGAGTCATTAACCATTTACGGACTCCAATTGTTAAATTAGGTAACTGTCAACATTTCATTAAATTTACCAAACAGCTAATCTCACTTTCATAGTCTATTCCAACTCTTGGTGACCCTTTTGTTATTGTTGTTGTTAAGTGCCACTGAGTCGACACTGACCCATAGCAACCCTGTATAGGGTTTCTGAGGAGCAGCTGGTGAGCTTGAACCGCCAACCTTGCAGTTCAAACGGCTTTGCAGTCTGGCGCATTAACCCATAGCGCCATACCAGGACTCCCCCTAGAGGACAGAAAAACACTGTTCTCTAGGGTTTTGAGACTATAAATCTTCACGTGAGCAGAGAGCCTCATCTTTCTCCTGCAGGGCTTGAACCACCAACCTTGTGGTTTAGCAGCCCGATGCTTAGCCCATGGTGTCACCAGGGCTCCTTTCATTAAATGTACAGTAGCCACTTTCAAAAGCAGAAGAATACAATTGTTTTCACAAGTTGTTGTTTTTAACTAGCCGAAGGCATTCATACTGATGGTGGTAATCAAGGGAAACTCAGGGTATGTTCTGGCTGTGGGGTGGGGAACCTTACAGGACCTGGACCCGTGACCCCAGCTCCTTACTTGCTGATGTACTCGCCGGTCAAGACCTTCCCACACGACTTGCACTTGAAACAGCCTAAGTGCCATTGCTTATCCAGTGCCAGCAACGCCTGCCCATTCTTGATGTCTCGTCCACAGCCAGCGCAGTCTGGAAAAGAGCAGCCGCCAGCAGAGTTATGAGACCCACGCGTCTGCTTCGCGAAATCCAGGCACAAAGACCAACTTTAAGCCCCAGTGCGCAATCTTTATAGGCTCCAAAAGCATTCGCTGAAGCGTCACTTTATTCTGGCTTCTTTGTGTGCACCAACTCCATCCCAGCAAAGCCTCCCATGGCCCATCCTCACACAGCGCATGCTTTGGTAGATCCAAGGCAATGGGGATGTCTTTTGCCTACTTACTTCCTTGAGGGTTATTTAAACATCCTCTGAGCTTTGACCCCACCCTATGGTACCATAGATGACAAACCCGGCAATGTGCTTCCATAAAGATTACAGCCAAGAAAACCCCATGGAGCAGTTTGACTCTTAACAGATGCGGTCACTATGAGTCAGAAGGAACTTCACAGCAACAGGTTTAGGGTTTGCTTTGTTTTGTTTGTAAGTTCCAGCTGGACCCGAGGACATTTGTGTTCTTGTTTCCTGTCTGTGACTTTTAAAAAAGTTTGCCTAGACCTTCATTAATGGATGGCACATGTGGACAGTTGAGTGTCCCTGAAACCCTGCCCATGAAGCTAGTTTTTTATAACTGAGATTAGTTCTACTTCCCTTGTCCACCCAGACCAACTGAATGACCCCCAATGTTATAGCTTTCAGTTTTCCTTTGGTGAGCTCGGGTACACAGAATGAAGGAGAGAGTATTTATTACTCATGGTGAATCCAAAAGTCTGGTCCTAAACCTTCACCGCACACCTGTCAGTTAGCCGGCAACCCAGGCCAGTGACTCACTATTCTGGTTTCCTCCTGTGAAAAACATGCTCTGAGTGTCGACCTCAAACCTCCAGACAAAGATTCGGTGAAAGAATCTGCTTTGCACTGTCCTTGGCACCCAGGAAGTGGTTCTAGACATATTTACTGTCATTATTATCACCACTGTCACTATTATTGTAGCTATTCTGATTATGAAATACCTTCTTGCATCAGGGAAGTCGAGTATTTAAGAGCCCTGAAGAATGTTAGTCAGTCTGACCTCTTTGGAAAGTCTTTGCTATCTGCACACGTTTCCAATCGCGGTACCTGAGAAAGTGAACGTAAGTGCCGCTGGCAAACAGCCTGAGATACTCCCAGGTGTCCAAAAGGAATACTCAGAGAATAAAGTAAGGCTGGACAAGGTCTCTCTGTGGACATGTTTGGAGTAAGACAGAGACAGGGCCACACAGTACACAAAAGAGATTAAACACCTTTTCTTCTGACCACATCTGTGCCTGCCACTCCTTCACTAACAACATTGTAATTTGTTGTTGTTGCATACCATTGAATTGACTTTAAATGACATGTTGCTGTTGTGAGCCATTGAGCTGGTTCCTACTCTTAGCGACCCTGTGTAGGCTTTCCAAGGAGTGGCTTGTGGGTTTGAACTGCCGACCTTGGAGGAATCCTACAGCACCACAATGGGACTCCACAATGATATGATAGCTCAACTGCAATTCTCTTCTCGCTTCTCCTAGAAAAATGCAAGACCCCCCATTACGGACTTGTGCTTGCTTCTAGACAACATCCAATCCAGAACCACTCCTGCTCCTTTGAGTCCTCCCTAAAAATAGCCATAAGCGCCCCCATCTGAAAGCCCCCCACACGCCCCCTCCTATGTTCCTCTGGAGGTGTCCTCCCTCCCTGCCGCTAGCTAAATAAACCAAACCTTTTTTGACTCCAGGTGTGTTTCTGAGGAGCTTAAATCAATGGGCATGAACATACCTTTAGACCTAGCAATTTCATATCTAAGATATTATTTGTACAACAAATTTCCTGAGGAATACAGAGAAATACCTTTGAGCAAATCCCCTACAGCATTCTTTTTGTTATTTGTTGTTAGGTGCTGTGACCTGACCCTATGCACAAGAGAATGAAACACAGTCCAGTCAAGCGCCAATCTCACAATTGTTACGTTTGAGCCCATTGGTGCTGCCACTGCGTCAATCCATTTTGTTGGGTGGGTCTTCCTCTTTTTCCGCTGACCCTCCACTTTAACAAGCATGATGTTTGTCCCCAGCATTCTTACAGCACCCACAACTGAAAGCACTCTGCTGCTAACTGAAAGGTTGGTGGTTCGAACCAATCAGCTGTAACCTCTGTGGAGTTACAGGGTCTTACAGGGTGGCTGGGACTTGACAACTCATACCAACAACAGCCTAAAAATAGTGAGGTGGTGGTGGTGGTTGTTTGCTGTTGAGTTGGTTCAGACTCAGAGACCCTGAATAGGATTTCCAAGGCTGCAAATCTTTGCAGGAGCAGAAATCCTTATCTTTTTCCCATGGAGCGGCTGACGGATTCAAAATGCTGACCTTGCAGTTAGCAGCCCAACTCATAACCCACTATGCCACTGGGCCTCCTTAGTGGAATAGTTGTTGTTGTTAAGTGCCGTCGAGTCGGTTCTGACTCATAGCGACCCCAACAGGGTTTCCGAGGCTGTAAATCTTTACGGGAGCAGATCGCCTCATCTTTCTCCCGTGGAGCGGCTGGTAGTTTCGAACTGCGGACCTTGTGGTTCGCAGCCCGATTCATAACCACTACGCTACCAGAGCTCCTTATGTGGAATACTTGTTGTTAAAAAATGAAGTAGATTTGTGGGCCAACAGGGAAATACATCCAAAAACATTAAGTTTAAAAAGAAAAGAGTAAAGCGCTATACAAAGCATACCGAACCCAAACCCACTGTCGTTGAGTCAATTCTGACTCAGTGACCACGTAAGGCAGGGTACAACTGCCCCACGGGGCTTCCAAGGTTGCAACTCTTCACAGAAGCAGAAGGCCACATCTTTCGTCTATGGAGCAGCAGAGTTCAAACCAGCACTCTGGTTAACAGCCACGAGCTTTACCCACAGTACCACCCGGCGCCTACCATATGGTCTTTAGTGGGGAAATAGTAAAGGAAGGGACCCGTGTGGCTCTGTGCACATGCTTCTGTGAGTAGGGTATTTCTGGAAAAACAAAACCAGGAAATTCTTAAGTAGTGGTTCCCTCTGTGGAGGAAGTTGTTTTACTTCATATTCTTCTCTGTTTGAATTATTATTTTTTTTTAATACCATGGGAATGTAAGAAAACAATTTCAGATAATTTGAGTAAATAATCAAAGTATTTGAAAAGTTTAAAAAATTCTATCTGCTTTCTAAGTATTAAATATGACACATTAAAAGTTCTTACAGTGTTGTTGTTGTTAGGTGTTGTCAAGTCAGTTTTGATGATAACAGCCCTACGTACAACAGAACACAACACTGCCTGACCCGGTACCATCCTCAGACCACTGACCATTGTTGCAGCCTCACTGAGGGTCTTCATCTTTTTCCCAATCTTCTAAGTTACTAAGCATGACATCCTTCTCCAGGAACTGGCCCCTGCTAATAACACGTCCAGAATGTTCCCTTCTAAGGAGCACTCTGGCTATGCGTCTTCTAAGACGGATTTGTTTGTTTTTCTGGCAGTTTGTAGCATTTGTTGTTGTTGTTGTTGTTAAGTGCAGTTGAATTGGTTCCCATTGATACCGACCCTGTGTAGGATTTCCAAGGAGCGGCTGGTGGGTTTGAACCACCAACCTTGCGGTTAGCAGTCCAGTGATTATCCTATAGTGCCATACCAGGACTCCAGTCCATGACATAGCCCATTATAAACTGAGTGTGTATTTATACAGTCAAAAAAAGTGTCAACATTGTAGTAAAAGCTGAGGTTCATATCTCATTAAATGCTTACAGGAGATTTCACGTTGGGTAGATTACTATGAAACAAAGATGAAGGCCATGATTTTGTTGTTGTTGTTATGTGCCGTGGAGTCGGTTCCGACTCATAGCGACTCTGTACAGGGTTTCTGAGGCTATAAATCTTTACAGGAGCAGAACACCTCATCTTTCTCCTGCGGAACAGCTGGTAGTTTTGAACTGCTGACCCTGAGATTAGCAGCCCGATTCATAACCACTAAGCTACCAGAGCTCCTTGGAAGGCCATGCTACTTGCTTAGAAAATATGGTTTTTAAAGTGTACATCCATAGGGGCTAACATGAACTGCCAGTTTTTAATATAAATGGAACTGAAATTTTTCTTCCTGTTTAGATAAATCCCACTAGGTGGCAGCAAAGATCTAAATTAACAAGGAAGATGCTGGGTGACAATTTTTTAAGCGGAAAATAAATTCTAGAGATGGCTTTCCAGTTCTATAAATGGGGAGTGTCGGGCTCAGGGAGGCTGGAGGAGCTAGCCACGGTCTCCCTGCTATAAGAGCAGCACAGTCTAGAGAGATGGATGGTGTGGAGATGGTAGAAGTACGGGTTTTGGAGTCAAGAACTCTGGGACAAGTTACGCTCTGATCTTTCTCTCTTTCATCTGTGAAATATTGGTAATGCCCTCTGTAATGGTAACAGTTTTGAATCAACTTGACTAGGCCAGGATTTACAGAGGTTTGGCAGTTGGGATATGCTTATTCCCATGGTGAAGAAACCTACTACAGGCATAGTTAGCTCTATGATGAGTGGCTATGAGGAGCCAATCAATTAAAGGGAAACTTCCTTGTGGGTGTGGTCTGCTCCCAATACAATGGACAAGCAGGAGGGACGCTCTCTCTCTCTTCTGCTTAGCACCTGGGACTTTGCAATTGTGAGCCATTTCCTTAATAATAAACTTCTCTCTATATATACATATGGTGGTGGTGTATGTATATATATATATATATATATATATATATATATATATATATATATATATATATATATATATATACATATACATGTATATATTTCACCAGAGTCCTGGTGTGGCACTTCAGGGTAAACACCAATTGCAAGGTCTGTTTGAACTTCAAGGTTGGTGGTTCAGTTCACCAGCTGCTCCTCAGAAACCCTATATGGGGTTGCTATGAATCAGAAACGACATGAAGGCACTTTAATGATAACAACGTGTTTCATGGTTTGCTTTTCTAGAAAACCCAGCCTAAGACATTGTGAAGTGC